GAGCATAGTAAAAAATTAAATTTTGAGGGTACCAATAGATTACCAAAACACGGAATCATATTTGGCAATTGGAAAATAATCAACCAAAATATTAGCCTGATTTAATGATTGTAAAAAGCCAAATTCAATGAAATAACAATTTTACAGGATTCTTGTAAATTAATCCAACTAAATATTTAAAAACTAATCAACAATAAGGATTATTCATTTTCTAATTAATGCAATGTTTTTTCTATTAAACTTAATTTTTTTAATTAACAATTCCGATTCAATATGTATTATCTTTATGCATTACATTTTGATTTATATTGGATACTTGGATTGTTTGTTGAGAGATGTTTCTTTGTCACCAGATGGAAGTAGATTATGTTTTCTACTTTCCCGCCTTTTAAGATCAGCTGAATTCGGTTGCATTGTCTGATTCAAACGAAAATTTAATTCTAATTTGGTTGTGTGTTCAGCCATCAAATGTATTTTTAATTCGCAATGTTCATTAAAAGTATAACCATCGATGGTTTCAAAACATATGGTAAACGAACAGAAATCAATGGATTAGACCAATCTTTTAATGCAATTACTGGTTTAAATGGATCTGGTAAATCAAATCTGTTGGATTCCATTTGTTTTGTTCTTGGTCTTGCCAATCCAAGTTTGGCCCGTGTCGCCCATTTAAGAGAATTGATTTACAAAAATGGTCAAACAGGTCTTACCAAGGCTAGTGTTTCCATCACTTTTAACAATTCCAACAAACGACAGTCACCTCCAGGCTACGAAAATTATGATGAAGTTACTATAAGACGTGAGGTAATTTAAAGTTTTTCTATTTCTTCTATAAATTTGAGTTCTTTGTATCTCATTTATCACAACATCTAATCTGACTTCTTGTTCACCCAGGTCACAATGGAAAATCGAACTAGATACTTCATCAATGGTTTCACTGCTCAAAACAACCAAGTTTTAGATTTATTTCAGAGTGTCTCTTTGAATATCAGTAATCCTCATTTTCTTATTATGCAAGGAAGAATAACGAAGGTTCTTAACATGAAGCCACATGAAGTAAGTGTTTCTGAATGACTATCTGATTTAAAATAACATTCAAACTTTCTTTTTTCCAGATTTTATCTATGGTTGAAGAAGCAACTGGTTTAAGTTTGTACGAATCTAAAAAGAGAACAACTCAAGCGACTTTAGTCAAAAAAGACTTAGCCTTAAACAACATCGATATTTTAATCAATGAAACTATTTTAACCAAATTGGATCAATTAACTAAGGAGCAATCGAGTCTTTTAGCATATCAAAAAGTTTGTATTGATTTGGAAAACTTGAAAAAAATTCATACAGCTTGGACTTACACAAGCTTGTCTAATCTTTCGCAACAAACGGATGCCAGGATCAAAGATCAACAAAAAGTGATTAGTGATGCAGAAGAAAAGATCATTGTCATCAACGAATCTGTCAGCAAAATTCAAGATCAAATAAGGCAAAGCCAGAAAGATTCAGTTTTCCGACCGAAACTTGCAGCTTTAGAGGAGGAACTTAAACAAGTACAGATGGAAGAAACGAAAGTTATGAGTGTTATGAATCTGAAAAAAGATAACCTCAATGAAGTTTTGAAAACAAAAAATAACTTGGTTAAACAAATAAAAGAAGAATCGAAGGTCAAGTCAGCCAAAGAAAAAGAATTCGACAAGTTGAACCAAGCTTTCAGTGAGTTCGAAGAAGCAAGAAAAAACGATGAAGTTGCTCTAGAGCAAGCCCAAAAAGATTTAGAAACAATTGTTTCTGGTGCTAGTCGAGGAGATGATGGAGAAGCAGCTGCCACCCTTGCGGACCAACTCATGCAAACTAAACGTGAAATCGCAAATTTGGATACAGAGACAGCTAAAGCTAAAATGAAAGTAAAACATTGCAAAGATGAATTGGTGAAGAAGGAAAGTGAAGCATCAAAGAAAAAAGGAAACTATGAAAATGATGTGAAATTAGTTGAACGTATGGAAAATGAAGCTGCCAGATTGAAACGTGATTTAGATGCAATTGGCTTTGATGAACAATCAAGTGAAAGTATGATGTCTGAAAGAGAAAATTTACGGAAGGAATACGATCAATTGAGATATGATGTCAATTCTCTCGAAAACAAACTTCCTCAAATTCATTTTAATTATCGAAAACCAACTCCAGATTTTGATCATTCTAGAGTTAAAGGTCCTGTTTGCACTCTATTTAAGGTTAAAGACCCACGAAATTATACAGCTCTTGAAGTTGCCGCTAGTGGTCGATTGTATAATATTATAGTTGCTGATGAAGAGACTGCCAAGTTAATCTTAGAGAAAGGTAGACCCGAAAAACGGTGCACACTTTTACCCTTGGATAAGATTCGTGGACGTGAAATCGATCCAAGAGTATTAAAAAATGCTCAATCAATTGTTGGAAGAGACAATGTTTTTCCGGCATTGGATTTGATTGAATTTGATCCATCATTGACGGAAGCGATGAAATATGTTTTCGGTGATACTATGATCTGTCCAAATATGGATTGTGCCAAGAAAGTTACCTTTGCTAGAAACGTTGCTACTAGAACTGTCACCCTGGACGGAGAAGTTTTTGATCCATCTGGTACTCTTACTGGTGGTGCTATTGGAGGTAAAGGAGCTGTTCTCTCCAGTATCGATCAACTCATGAAAAGAAAATCAACCTTTTCTAGAGTAAAGTCAACATTGATGGAAATAGAACGAAAACTTGATTCTATGCACGCCTCCAAACAGCAATATACTCAATTGAAACAACAATATGATTTGCGATCTCATGAGATCGAATTGTTAAAGGATAGACTTAAATCAACAAACCAACACCTTCTCTTGGAAGAAATTGAAAATTTGAAGCAAACAATTGCTGAAAATGAACAATCTTTACAAGATATGGTCGATAGAAAAAAGACAGCAGAAAAAAAGGTTAAAGAACTTGAAAGTAAAATGAAAAATACTGCTTCTATTCGTGAAAGAGAACTACAAGAAGCTGAAAAGGCATTGGAAAAGGCGAAAAAGAATTTCGAAAAGACGAAAAAAGCTGCTTCGGAAAGAGAACAAGCCGTTTCTTTTCTTAAAATGGAGATTGACGAATTGAAGAAGTCTTTGGATAACTATGCACAACAATTAACTGAAGTTGATTCTAAAATTGAAGCTCAAAAGGCCGAGGTTGACGAGGCTTCAAAGGCTGTCGATGAAGCTAAAGAAGTTGTTGATGGAGTTCAAGAAGAAATAAAGAAACTCAAACGCCTTATCAATGAGCATAGCTCCGAGATTGCAAGATTGACGAAACAAAAAGAAAATCTTGTTCGTGAAGCTGAAGAAATGAAATTATCCATTAAAAAGCATCAACATGAAATATCACAAATTGAAAATGAAGGTAAAGATGCCTCCAAGAGTATCCAACAACTATTGAAAAAGTTCACTTGGATCAATGAAGAGAAACATTTGTTTGGTGAAGAATCTGCTGGTTATGGATTCAAAAGAGCTGATTTCAACCCTGAAGAGCTTGAGGATCGTATAAAAAGATTACAAGATGATAAAAATAAACTGTCCAAAACCGTCAACATGAGAGCCAACATTATGCTCGGTGATAAAGAAAAGGAAGCTGAAGAATTGAATAAGAAACGTCAAATTATTGAAAATGATAAGAAAAAGCTTTTGGTTTATATGGAAGATGTTGACAAGAAAAAGAAAGATGCCCTTAAAGACGCATGGGAAAAGATAAACAAAGATTTTGGAAATATTTTCACTACTCTTTTACCTGGTGCCAATGCCAAATTAATGCCTCCTGAAGGTAAAACCATCATGGAAGGCCTTGAAGTTAAAGTAGCATTTGGTGATGTTTGGAAAGAATCATTAACTGAACTTAGTGGTGGTCAAAGGTCATTGGTTGCATTATCACTCATTCTCGCTCTTTTACTGTATAATCCCGCACCAATATACATTTTGGACGAAGTTGATGCAGCTCTTGACCAAAGTCACACAACTAATATTGGAACCATGATAAAAAAACATTTCACAAACTCTCAGGTAAATTTCTCATCAGATTATCTTTCATAATCGTACAATCTTGAAAATTCTGAAAATTTATTTATGTCTCTTTTCTTCTTCACAGTTTATCATTGTATCGTTGAAAGATGACATGTTTAACAATGCCAATGTTCTGTTCAGAACTAAATTTGTTGATGGCTGCTCAACGGTTACTCGTTTCGCTAAAGGTGATCGCTAATAATTATTAACCGGTAACAACCAAGAATTAATAGCCAATTTATTATCTGTTTTCTCATGTAACATTCATTATTGCATCTCTTCATTTGTATCAGTCTGTATTTATCATCTAATCTAAATCATGTGAACAATAATCCATCTAATTATTTTTATTGATAAATTTACCCTTACAATTGCCTTTGACTCTTACTTTGGCATTTTCAATTAAAAAATTGTGTCTTTTAAAGATCCATTTTATTTTGAATTTAAAGTTTCTGTGCTTTCATTATTCAAGGTATTATCATTTCAGAAGTTCAGCTCTGTCTGGTGATTGAGAATTTAAATTCATTTATTTTTGGCTAAGACCTTTTCTGTATTTCTAGCCAATTAATCCAATTGGTTGATCTTTGATTCTTTGAATTTTAAACGTTTATGATTTGCAATTTTTCCATCGCTTTTTAAAGCTCTTCCTAATTCAAAATTTAAATGCATACAATCAACTATTAAAATCATTTATGAAGTGGTTGGAAAGTGTTGAACATTTAATTTTGTACTTAATAGCAAATCAAAGTAATATTTTAAATTTAAAATTAACTACTTTATGGGTTATCAATTAATAATAACTAAATGGGTAGAAAATAAAATTTTGATCCAATCATTGTTTGATAATTAATTTCTTTAAATACTTTGGATTAACTGAAAATATTTGACTTGGTTTAATTCCCCTTTGATTTGTGTACAGTATTGTTAATTAAAAGGAATATTTATTAATTGATTATGATGCTGGTCTTGCAACTTTATTCGGATCATTAAAGCTATATAAGACAAAGAGATATTAAATGTGTATTCAACATAAACCGGCGATCGATTCAGTGTATTATTTGACAACTGGATGATTATTTTCAAACGTCGTCTTTCCGGAGATAAAGTATATCATAATGTCCAGGACGATAAAGAAGGTATATTTTAGGATCACAATTATCTGGGAAATAATGAACTGTCACTTGGTCACCTTGAGCACGATCCAGGTAATTAATACAAACACCAACCCCAATTGCTGAAGTCAATGCAATAATGTGAATGTGGTCACTTTCTTTATTTAATGGTTCCACCTCATGGCTGCAAAAATTTTTCATGGTTAATCCACTGTCAAGAAAGCTTGAATAAAATTCTTGATTTTTTTGCAAATAGCCTGAAGTTAGAAGTCGCATGAAAACTACCAAATAATCAGAAGTTCCTTGCTCGTTGAAGAGGTTAAGTAGCTGTTCTTCATTTGAAACCTCTTTTGTTTTTAACGAATTCAAGGCATTCATAAACTAAAATGACGGGAAAAGGAAATTTAAATAAAATTATGAGTTTAAGAAAAATTAATTGATTGTTCTCGTAAAATTATGCAATCATAAAGTGCAAAGTAACTTCAAGGTTAATCATGTAGACGTATTACATTCTAGATTATCCTAGAATCTTCAAAGGTAGTTTATGTTTCTTTATTACTAAGACTTTATGCAAAGTTGAAGGTGAGTGCAAACTGAAGCTGAAGTTATTAAAATAAATGGTCTAGACTTACGTTTTCATGAATGTCTTCAATAGTGAATGAAGGAAAACCTAATGCAATTAAATCATCTTTGATTTTATTAGAGACATCAATGAACCTATCTAACTCTTGAGCATCTGTTATCAGATATTCAAAGTATGCGAAGGTGAATCCACGGAAAAAACAGTTTCCATCAGGTCGTGTTCTCCGTAATAGGTGATACTTCTTCAAGAGAGACTAGATGAAAATAATGAGAAAATACCATAATTTTAGCTTGATGTTAGACTGTTAGTTGAGACTGAGAACTTTTTCCGGTAATTTATACCAGCAAATACCTTTATTTTATTTTTGTAGACATCATCTTCATCTGGATATTCACTCAATAAAAATGAAAGGTCCATTTTATCCCCAACGAGTTTTATACTGTCGGCAATGTCCTTTTCGATCTGTCTTTGTTGTGCAATGATAGCCTCATCTTGATTTATATCTGAGAAAAATAAATTCAGAAAATGTTTAATAACAAATGGGACAACGATTTAAGCAAAAAAAGGTGGAAGAGAAGATGGCGGAGAAAAAAACTAAGGGAACTGGATAAGAGTAAGAATGTTATGTAAAAAAAATATTACAAAATAAAACATAACCAACCAGGATTCCAACCATCTTTAACAGGATCCTTGCTAGAGCTTTCAGCATTAGATGGGCCTTCCATGGTATAATTATTGACACACAACCAAAATCAGATATTAAGCGAAAATCTGATAAACAAAAAGATTGATGAATAAAGAGTTAAGATGAGGTGATGATGGTGATAATGATTATGATGGTAGAGCGTATCAAAACAAGTGACAACTAAAAGGACAAAAATAAAAGACAAAAGCAGAGAAAAAAATTGCAAGAGGAAGCGAAAAATTAAGATCTTTATGGTTCAAATTTAATTCAAATTAATCACTTAACGATTTACCATTCAACTTGTACAATAATCAATTGAAAATGTGTAAATCTGCAGCATAATTAATGCATTTCACCATATTACTGATTACTGATCCTACTCGATAAATGGAGTAGATCCTTGCAGATACTCTTATGAGTAATGCTTGACAGCTCAGCTAGCTAAGTCGATATTCACACCGATGAGGATGATTGGCCTAAATTAAAGTAATTATGATTAAATTTGTCAAGATTATTTTAGGCCAGATCATGTTTAATTAATACGAGTTGAATAGGATTTGATTTGGTTGTGTTAAATTATGTCAGCCGCAAAAGCTGGTGCCTCAATTTAAGCTAGCTGAGACTTGAAGAGAGAAGAAGTCAGCTCACGAAGTTTTTGCAAACCCATACCAGTTATTTCACTTTTAACCAAATACAAATGCAAAATGAATTCTGCTTTTTAGTTATTCAGATCAGAGATATTTTAAGGATGAATTTTGAAGTGATGTCTCAACTCGTTTGCACTGTTCGTTATTGTATTGACTAAACTGAAAAATAAAGTGAAAATGGACAAGAAATGGCTACTATGGCTCCTGACTCCACAATTTTACACAACTTAATCTAATCAAAAATAGTGGCTCAATGCATTTTCGAGTTTCACAATTACTTACAATGAATATTCCGGATTCTGATGACTCATGTGCTTCTGAATTATTCAACTGGTAAGCAGTAAAATCCATTCATACTTGGACCAAAAACACAATTCGCGGTAAAGCTAGTAAGTAACTTTGGTTACATTCATTGGAGTATAACTCGAAATCACGGCTAAGATCTTAAAACTAGTTTTACGCCCCAGTCTTAGTTAGACCCTTTTTAATACAACAGGTGATCTACCTTTGCCCGTCATCTTTTGAGCTTAAATAAAAGTTTTAACGGCAATTTTTTAGATTAAAATTTATTTATCATTTGCACCGAAAATATTATTACCGCAAAATGGATCAAGTTGATAGCAACTCTGATAAAAGTAAGTTTTGTTTTTCGATCAAATAAGTTTTACAATCTTTACTTTGTTATGTTTAGTTACAATAAAAGTGAGACACTGGGATGAAGATTATCATGACATTACTATTGATTGGTCAAATGAAAGTTTTGATTACAGGAAACAAGTGTTTCATCAGGTAAGTCAGAAGAAAAGACAATGAAATGAATAATTTCTAATTCATATTTTACTTGTATTTATAGTTATCAGCATTCACAGGCATACCAGTCAAATATCAAGTGCGTGTTGGAGTAACTAATGTAGGAATATCTGTCAATTTGGGCAACCCTGAATTCGGTGATGAGTAAATGATTTATTTATGAATTTTATTCAACTTTTTTGAGCTTTTTTAAAATTTAAATGCTCTCTAATTAATTCTTCAGAGAAGGACGGGGTCACTTGTTTCCGGATGAAAAAGAGGAGGCAATGGAGCAAATTCAGGATGGCGCTTGTTATCTTTTGGAAACAGATATATTCACCTGCTATCCTACTTATCCTAGTATTTTCTGTTCCTATCACCTGGCTCATCGTGATCTGGTCAATGAAAATGGTTGCAACTTATATTATTGCCACTCTTTGGGTAGTCGTTTCTTCACGAAGAAATTTTCAAAGCTCATTAAATCCGAGCACTTGCAGACACTTCTGGATCCAAGAGTTGCAGGACAAGCACGGGAAACTTTAACAAGAATTAAATTAAATCTGAATATTGAACATATTACTCGCCTAGAATGCAATAGATATTTCGAATCTTTAGGACATTTTGATTATCCGTTCTCTAATTACTATTTGCGTTACCGAGGTTAATGAAGATATACACCTGGTAAAACTTAGAATCTAGGTTATTTTCGGCTACGTGATAATTACTTGCGTTATCGAGGTTGATTAAAAATGCTTTTGCAGTTCATTATCAATCAAAGAAACTGACTTATATCAACTTTTTGCATTAAAAGATGAAAATTTTAAAGCATCTGACTACTATTTCCATCAGTAAATGCTCCCTCATTTCTGGTCGGATATGATTTAACAATTCTGTTACAAGTTCAATTAATGATATTTACTATAATGATGCTTGTGATCCGGAAATTTGCTATGAAATGAAGTCAAGAGACAGAAGTTTTGAAGAAATATCAAACAGTATAATAAAATGTAAATAATGACATCTAGAATGGAAAAGTGAAATACAGAAGTCGATAAGAAATACATAATGACAATAATACCGTAGGTTCAAGAAAGGTGAATAAGCTGGAAGAAAAAGCAAATTATGACCGGCGTTATCAATTATAGCTCGGACATCCTGAGCATGGTGAAATATTGCATTGTCCATGATTATAGTATGGACTTGGATACCTGTTTCATGAACAAAGATAACCTTTTCTCGGTCCTGATCAACTCGTAAAAATTCATTAGCATAAAGTTTTCTGGCTGCGATGACATCAGGGCAATTCCTTCTTTCTGGTATCTTTTTGAGTTATCTTTTTGATGCTGATGTTGATGCCTTTCAAATAGTTATAAACAGTGGCATTACATACCAAACTTTTCCATAATTTTATCCTTAGCTCCATCAAGGGTCAGTGTACAATCTTCATCATACCATGAACGTAATGCATCAACATTCGATCTCAACCACGATGACCTCATTTCATCGTTTTTCCATTTTCCATAACATTTGCTACTTTTTGAGGTACATTCGTTTTCTTTCTAAAATCACTGTAATCATCTTGAAGAGGTAAACCTGTGCTCTTGGCCTATCCACATTCAGGACATCAATTTCATAATAACTATTTGCGTTATCGTGGTTAAACAAGCAAGACTGAATGAGCGGAATAAAAAAACAGAAAATAATTTGATAGGAAAATTGGAGACAAATCACAATTTTTATTTAGAATCAGAAAACACAACTTTTTAATAACTTTTTTCATTGAAAGATTGAAAGTTTCAATAACATTTGACTATTTTTATCAGTAAATTCATTTCATCCTCATTCCTTGATTTGAAAAATCCCTCAAAACAATTTGTTTGCCTTAGATTTAAATTTTTATCCTTAAACTTGAAATTCAATTAATAATTAGGGAAATTAGTCAGACAACACTAGTGTATTTATCAACAATGAAAATTTTCAACCTTTGTCAACCATTTGTAAGCTTGAATAGCTCGATGCTAGTGCCACATATGTCATCCAAGCTCTTCGAGAGAACTGAATCGGAACAGCCCAAAAGTCCGCAAAATCTACTTGACACCCTAATATTTCAAAGTAAACGATATTCTCAGTAGATTAAAAAATCATCAGAAATTAATTGAAAAAATCAAATAATAAAGGGCGAATATTAGTATGGCCCAAAGGTCACAAAGCAAAATTTTTTTGATAAGGAACCGCAAATATACTTGAAGCCCTAATATTTCAAAGTAAAGGTATTGAGAGTCACCTAGGTTACATTCATATGACAATCCTATTAGGAGCATAACTCGAAGTCACGACTTCTTGAAAACTGGTTTTGAGAAACATTCACAGACAAACAGATCTTAGTTTAACATTTTCACACTCAGGTGATCTACTTTTGAATGCAATTTTTTGTCCTTAAATGAAAATTTAGTCATTCATCTTTTTATAATTAACACCAAAATATAAACTGTGTTGTCTCAAGATGAATAAAGAAGTTGGTAGGAATTCTGATAAAAGTAAGTTACATTTTTTATCGACTCAGTTTCAAAATACTATGTTCTTTGTTATTTTTAGTTACAATAAAAGTAAGGCTATCGGATGAAGATTATCATGACATTAAAATTGATTGGTCAAATGAAAGTTTTGATTACAGGAAACAATTGTTTCATCAGGTAAGTCAAAAGAAAAGACAAGAAAGTGATTAATTTCTAGTTTACATTTTACTCATATCAATAGTTATCAGCATACACAGGAATACCAGTTGAACATCAAGAGTATGTCGCCGTGAGCAGAGCATTTCGTCACGCTCATGGTCTGATAAATACCGAATGGAAGGATGGGTAAATGATTTTATCTACTTTTTTGATTGCCTTTCTTTAGATTTAATCCTTTTTCATAATTTTTTCAGAATTTTTAATGAGGGCTGGAATTGGGAATACGACTCAAAGGAACGCGCAATGAATGCTTTCCATGATGGCGATTGTTTTCTATTTAGAACGCAACTTTTTGCAGCTGATACTGGATTGTTTTGTCGATATGACTTGCAGCATCAGAGTCTGGTTAATGAAACTGGATGTGACCGAAATTATTGCTATTACTTGGGTCGTCGATCTTTCACAGAAAGAGTATCAGAGTTGCTGAAATCAGATGAAATGCGAAAAATTTGTGATGAAAATGGCTTACGAGTTGGTGAACAACCAGATGAATTTAGAAGAATGAACCTCAATTTGAATATTGCACATCTTACACACCCAGTGTGCACTGGGCTGATCTTAGCTTGGCCTGGTCTATTTCGGTTTGATGCTAACCATATGTACTTACGTTACCGTGGCTAACTTAAATCCCTGTCAATTGTCGATAAAAAAGTTTTGCTTTCAATTTATTCAAATGTTTTCATCTAATAAAAACATTCAACTAAAATTTTATTAGTGGATGTTTCCTCATTTCTATTGATTTGTAAAAGTCTTCCGTATACTATTTTTTATTTCAATCTTCAATTTTCAAACTTGAATTTCAATTAATAATCAGGTATGTGTTCAAACAACACTAATGTATTTATCAACAAAGAAAATGTTCAACCTTTGTCAAGCAAAGCGCTCAGAGACGTTTGTTTTGAGAGAGATTCATTGACACAAAGATCACAGTTTAACCTTTTCTATACATAACAAGTGATCTGCTTTTGGTCCACCATTTTTGAGGTTACATGACGATCTCAATGTTCATCTAATGAATTAACTGAATTATTTATAATTTATACCAAAGTCATTTTTGTCATAAAATTAATGGAGATAATAGTTACTCTTCTGATAAAGGTAAGTTTCGTTTGTTTTTCAATTCAATTTTAAAATGAATGCCATTTTATGTTCAGTTACAAAAACAGCAAAAATTTGAAAGAAAAATTGGAGAAAAATCACAATTTTTATTCAGCAACAGAAAACACAACTTTTTAATAACTTTTTGCATTAAAAGATGAAGTTTCAAAACATTTGACTACTATTTTTTCAGTAAGGGCATTTCATCCTCATTCCTAGTCTGATCTGATTTGGAAAAATCCCTTGGAACACATTGGTTACACCCAAATTGTTTGCTACAAAATTTTAATCTTATTCTATTAACTTGAAATGCAATTAATAATTAATATGCGTACATATGATTCTAGAGGATTCCTAAAAATTTTAAAGAAAATGTTCAACCTTTGTCAACCATTGCCAATGGCTTGAAAAGCTTAATGCTAGTGATCTAAATATCATCCGAGCTGCCCTCGGGTCAATTGAATCGGAAGAGAACAAACCGAAACTCTTTTGAAGAGAGTCACCTAGGCTACGTGCATGTGCCAATCCTATTAGGACCATAACTCGAAATGACGACTTCTTGAAAACTGGTTTTGAGAAAAATTCATAGACAAACAGATCTTAGTTCAACATACACACTCAGTTGATCTACTTTGCCTACAACCTTTTGTCCTTGAATGAAAATTTTTTCACTCATCTCGTAAATAAACTTTTTCATAATTAATACGAAAAATACTAATTTTTGTTACAAAATGAATGAAAATAATAGTAATACTTCTGATAAAAGTAAGTTTTGTTTTTTGTTTTGGATTGACTTTTAAAATATTTTTTTTGTTATGTTTAGTTACGATAAAAGTAAGGCTATCGGATGAAGATTATCATGACATTTCAATTGATTGGTCAGATGAAAGTTTCGATTTCAAGAAACAATTGTTTCATCAGGTAAGTCTAAATAAAAGATAATGAAATGAATTATTTCTAGTTTACATTTCCCTTTATCAATAGTTATCAGCATACACAGGAATACCAATTATCCATCAAGCGTGTATCGATGTGGACAATGTAAATCTTCATCGATGTGAAGGTCTGATGAACGCCGAATTCAAAAACGGGTAAAATAATTTTATTCAACTTTAAGATGACTCTTTCTCGATATTTAATTTGTTTTCATTAATTCTTTAGAGATGTGCATGAGTATTATGGTTGGAAATTCGATACTAAAGAGGATGCAATGAATGCTCTTCAAGATGGCGATTGTTTTTTGCTTCACACAGAACTGAAATCAGGCGTTTATCATCCTGGGATTTACTGTACTTATAAACTGGTGCATTGGGATCTGGTTAGTGAAACTGGATGTAACTTCCATTATTGCCATTACTTGGGTAGTCGACCTATTATCGAGAGATTTACAGAGCTGGTGAATTCAGATTCCTTGCAAAAAGCTATGGACGAGGCAGGACTAACAATGGAGGAAAGGAATAGAACTCTAATTAATTTGAACATTAAGCATTTTACAGAGCTAAAGTGTAGTGCAAAGAACTTGATTTATCCGGGTTCAGGGTGGCGGATACACAGTGACTATTTGCGTTATCGTGGTTAAACAAACAAGAGTGAATGAGCTCAACAAAAAACAAGATTCCTCATCTCTATTGATTAAAAGTAAAAGTAAAAGTCTCCCGAAACAGTATTTTTTTATTTTAATCTTTGATTATCAAACTTGAATTTTAATTAATAATTAGATATTTGTTCAAGCAATACTAGTGTATTTATCAACAAAGAAAATGTTCAACCTTTGCCAACTATTTGCAAGCTTGAAAAGGTTGATGCTAGTGATCTAAATGTCATGCAAGCTGCTCCTCGAGAGCTAAAACCTGTTGTTACTCACCATTGTGATTTTTTGGTTTATCGTGATGATGGAGACTCTAATTCTGATGATATTGGAACAGCAACTTTACTTAAAGTGCGAAAAACAGTTGCTGATTTGATACCAAAAAAAGCTATGAATTCTTTCCATGATGGCGATTGTTTTCTTTTTAGAATTTTTTTAGGCCGTACTGGATTTGAATGCAAATATTGATTGTGGGATCCGAGTCTGGTTAATGCAACTGAATATAACCGAAATTATTTGTCATTACTTGGGTCGCTGATATTTTAAAAAGATATTTTCAGAGTTGCTTAAATCAAATGAATTGCAAACAATTGTGAACTGGAGGAACTGCAAAGGAGGAGACTTAATTTGAATATTCACCATATCATTGATCAAAATGCACTGCGGAGTTTACAACGATGACCCCGATGACCAACGATGAATGAGGAACTTTCCTACTTTTTGAGGTACATTCGTTTTCTTTCTAAAATCACTGTAATCATCTTGAAAAGGTAAACTGCAGTGCAGTGCTCTTGGCCTATCCACATTCAGGACATCAATTTCATAATAACTATTTGCGTTATCGTGGTTAAACAAGCAAGACTGAATGAGCGGAATAAAAAACAAGAACAGCAAAAAGTTGAAAGAAAAATTGGAGACAAATCTTAATTTTTATTCAGAATCAGAAAACACAACTTTTTAATAACTTTTTTCATTGAAAGATGAAAGTTTCAAAAACATTTGACTACTATTTTTATCAGTAAATGCATTCCATCCTCATTCCTAGTCGGATCTGATTTGAAACAATCTTTATCTATAAACTTGAAATTCAATTAATAATTAGTGAAATTAGTCAAACAACTCTAGTGTTTTATCAACAAAGAAAATGTTCAACCTTTGTCAACGATAACGATTGAAAACCTTTGTAAACGATATTCTCAGTAGATTAAAAAGCCATCAGAAATTAATTGGAAAATAGAATAATAAAGGACGAATATTAGTATGGCCCAAAGGTCACAAAGCAAACTTTTCATAGGAACCGCCAAATATACTTGAAGCCCTGATATTTCAAAGTAAAGGTATTGAGAGTCACCTAGGTTACATTCATATGACAACCCTATTAGGACCATAACTCGAAATCACGACTTCTTGAAAACTGGTTTTGAGAAACATTCATAGACAAACAGATCTTAGTTTAACCTTTACACACTCAGGTGATCTACTTTTGACTGCAATTTTTTGTCCTTAAATGAAAATTTAGTCATTCATCTTTTAAACTGACTTTTTATAATTATCGCCAAAAACATAAACCGTGTTGTCTCAAGATGAATGAAGTTGGTAGGAATTCTGATAAAAGTAAGTTTCGTTTTTCCAAACAAATCAGTCTTGAAATTTTTTCTTTGTAATGCTTAGTTACAATAAAAGTAAGGCATTCGGATGAGGATTATCATGAGATTACAATTGATTGGTCAAATGAAAGTTTTGATTTCAGGAAACAATTGTTTCATCAGGTAAGTCGAAAGTAAAGACAATGAAATTAATAATTTCTAATTCATATTTTACTTTATCAATAGTTATCAGCATACACAGGAATACCAGTTGAACATCTTGAGTCTGTCGGTGTTCATCATTCGGTATTCAAATTATTCATTTCGAAATGAATAATTTCTAGTTTACATTCTACTCATATCAATAGTTATCAAAATACACAGGAATACCAGTTGAACATCAACATTATGTCAGCGTGGACAGAACATTTCGTCACGGTCACGGTCTGCTAAATATGGAATGGAAGGATGGGTAGATGATTTTATCTAACTTTTTGATTGCCTTGCTTTAGATTTAATTCTTTTTCATAAATTTTTCAGAACTTACCATGAGAGCTGGGATTGGGTATACGACTCAAAGGAACGCGCAATGAATGCTTTCCATGATGGCGATTGTTTTCTATTTAGAACGAGACTTTTTGCAGAGGATATTGGATTGGGTTGTAGATATGAATTGAAGCATCAGAGTCTGGTTAATGAAACTGGATGCGACCGAAATTATTGCTATTACTTGGGTCGTCGATCTTTCACAAAAAGAGTATCAGAGTTGCTGAAATCAGATGAATTGCGAAAAATTTGCGATGAAAATGGCTTACGATTTGGCGAACAACCAGAGGAATTTTTAAGAATGAACCTCAATTTGAATATTGCACATCTTACACACCCAGTGTGCACTGGGTGGCTCTTAGCTTGGCCTGATGTATTTCGGTTTGATTCTAACCATATGTACTTACGTTACCGTGGCTAACTTAAATCTCTGTCGATTGTTGATAAAAAAGTTTGTTGTTAAAAAAAAATGTTTTCATCTAATAAAAACATTCAACTAAAATTTTATTAGTGGATGTTTCCTCATTTCTATCGATTAAAAGTAAAAGTAAAAGTCTCCCGAAACAGTATTTTGTTATTTTAATCTTTGATTATAAAACTTGAATTTTAATTAATAATTAGATATTTGTTCAAAAAATACTAGTGTATTCATCAACAAAGAAATTGTTATCCTTTGCCAACTATTTGCAAGCTTAAAAAGGTTGATGCTAGTGATCTAAATGTCATGCAAGCTGCTTCTCGAGAGCTAAAACCTGTTGTTACTCACCATTGTGATTTTCTGGTTTATCGTGATGATGGAAACTCTAATTCTGATGATATTGGAACAGCAACTTTACTTAAAGTGCGAAAAACAGTTGCTGATTTGATACCAAAAAAAGCTATGAATTCTTTCCATGATGGCGATTGTTTTCTTTTTAGAATTTTTTTAGGCCGTACTGGATTTGAATGCAAATATTGATTGTGGGATCCGAGTCTGGTTAATGCAACTGAATATAACCGAAATTATTTGTCATTACTTGGGTCGCTGATATTTTAAGTAGATTTATGATATTTTCAGAGTTGCTAAAATCAAATGAATTGCAAACAATTGTGAGTCGTGAACTGGAGGAACTGCAAAGAAGGAGACTTAATTTGAATATTCACCATATTATTGATCAAAATGCACTGCGGAGTTTACAGGCTGGTAGCAGTTTCATACCATTAACATTTATTAATATTTACTTCATCGTGGATAACTCGACAATTTTGTCTTAATTCATTTAAATGTTTTTATTGAGTAAAAATGTTAGTTATGACTCTTTGGAATCAATGCATTTTCGAGTTTTGGAAGCATTTACAATGTCTATTCCATATTCTGATGACGATTCTTCATAAATTATTCGTCTGGTAAGCAGTCAAATACCTTTATACTTGGAACAAAAACATAATTCGCGGTAAAGTAAGTAAGTCATTAGGTTACATTCATTGGAGCATAAATCACGGCTAAGGAAACTCTGAAAACTGGTTTGAGGACCACAGTCTTACAGCCTTGTTAGCTTGACCCTTTTGACGTAGAACAGGTGATCTACTTTTGCTCATCATCTTTTGTGCTTAGTGGAAATTCCAACATAAATCTTCTAGACTAAAACTAGATTAACTTAATTTAAATTGAAAACATTAATTTATTGTCGCAAAATGGATGAAGTTAATAGTAACTCTGATAAAAGTAAGTTTTGTTTTTCGATCAAATAAGTTTTACAATCTTTACTTTATATGTTTAGTTACAATAAAAGTGAGACACTCGAAATCACGACTTCTTGAAAACTGGTTTTGAGAAACATTCATAGACAAACAGATCTTAGTTTAACCTTTACACACTCAGGTGATCTACTTTTGACTGCAATTTTTTGTCCTTAAATGAAAATTTAGTCATTCATCTTTTAAACTGACTTTTTATAATTATCGCCAAAAACATAAACCGTGTTGTCTCAAGATGAATGAAGTTGGTAGGAATTCTGATAAAAGTAAGTTTCGTTTTTCCAAACAAATCAGTCTTGAAATTTTTTCTTTGTAATGCTTAGTTACAATAAAAGTAAGGCATTCGGATGAGGATTATCATGAGATTACAATTGATTGGTCAAATGAAAGTTTTGATTTCATGAAACAATTGTTCCATCAGGTGAGTCAAAAGAAAAGACAATGAAATCAATAATTTTTAATTCATATTTTACTTTATCAATAGTTATCGGCTTACACAGGAATACCAGTTGAACATCAAGAGTGTGTCAGTGTACACAATGTAAATCCTCCTCTCAATATCGGTCTGGTAAACGCCGAAGTCAATAATGGGTAAAAATATTTTGTAAAACTTTATGATTGCTCTTTCTTTAACTTTAACTTATTTTTAAAAAGACGCGGGCTCGAATTTTATGCTTGGGAAACAGATACCAAAGAGCGTGCAATGCGGTGTTTTCATGATGGCGACTGTTTTCTACTTCAGACAACGATGATATCATACGGTTTACATCCTGGAATTTGCTGTACGTATGAACTGGTGCATCGTGATCTTGTTAGTGAAGTTGGATGTAACCTTCATTATTGTCATTACTTGGGCATTCGAGCTATCACGAAGAGAATTTCAGAGCTGGTGAGTTCAGATTACATTCAAAAAATTCTGAGCGTTGAGCGAGAAACAGATGAAGATCGGAAGAGGGTGCTACTTAATTTGAACATTTATCATCTTGAAGAGGTAAACTGCAGTGCAGTGGTCTCAGTTTATCCATATTTGGGGTTTCAGAATAACTATTTGCGTTATCGTGGTTAAACAAGCAAGACTGAATGAGCGGAATAAAAAAACAAGAACAGCAAAATTATTTGCGAGAAAAATTGGAGACAAAATTTTTATTCAGCAACAGAAAACACAACTTTTCAAAAACTTTTTGCATTAAAAGATGAAAGTTTCAAAAACATTTGACTACCATTCGTATCAGTAAATGCATTTCATCCTCATTTCTGGTCGGATCTGATTTGAAAATCCCTCAAAACAAATTGTTTGCCTCAAATTTAAATCTTTATCTATAAACTTGAAATTCAATTAATAATTAGTGAAATTTGTCAAATAATACAAGTGTATTTATCAACAAAGAAAATGTTCAACCTTGAAACCATTGCTGGTTAAATAGTCAAGAATGATTCGTATTTGACTTAATAAAGTGCAAGTTTAAAGTTCGTGAGTCAAATTTTTACTTTGATAAAGCATTCGTTGCATTCGAGAAAATAATCAAAATTGAAATGGATATTCATAGTAGATTAAAGAATCATTTGAAATTTATTTGAAAAATAAAAATTCAAGGGTGAATATTAGTATGGCTCAAAGGTCAAAAATGAAACTTATTTTTATAGGAAACCGCAAAATATACTTGACGCTCTAATATTTCAAAGTAAAGGTAATGAGAAACAACTTGGTTATATTCATATGACAATCCATAACTCGGACCATAATCACGGGTAAGCTTATTGAAAACTGGTTTTGAGAAACATTCACAGACAAACAGATCTTACAATAGTTTGTTAGTTTAACCTTTACACACTCAGGTGATCTACTTTTGACTACAATTTTTGCCTTAAATGAAAATTTTATCATTAATCTTTTAAACTGACTCTTTATAATTAACACTGAAAATAAAAACCGTGTTGCCTCAAAATGAATGAAGAAGTTGGTAGGAATTCTGATAAAAGTAAGTTTTGTTTTGGATTGAGTTTCAAAATATTATGTTCTTTGTTATGTTCAGTTACAATAAAAGTAAGGCATTCGGATGAGGATTATCATGACATTACGATTGATTGGTCAAATGAAAGTTTTGATTACAGGAAACAATTGTTCCATCAGGTAAGCCAAAAGAAAAGACAATGAAATTAATAATTTCTAATTCATGTTTTACTTGTATTTATAGTTATCAGCATTCACAGGCATACCAGTTGAACATCAAGAGTATGTCAGCGTGAACAACGCATTACTTCGGATTGGTGGTCTGCTAAATACAGAATGGAAGGATAAGTAAATGATTTTATCCAGCTTTTTGATTGCCTTTCTTTAGATTTAATCCTTTTTCATAAATGTTTCAGAACTCACATGGTGGGTTATGCTTGGCAATACGACACCAAGGAACGCGCAATGAATACTTTCCATGATGGCGATTGTTTTCTATTTAGAACGAAACTTTTCGGAGATGATGCTGGATTTGGCTGTAGATATGAATTGTGGCATCAGAGTCTGGTTAATGAAACTGAATGTAACCGACATTATTGCCATTACCTGGGTCGTCGATCTTTCACAGAAAAATTATCAGAGTTGATGAAATCAGATAAATTGCAAAAAATTTTTAATGAAAGTGTCTTACAATTTAGTAGACAACCAGAGATATTGAAAAGAGTTAGACTCAATTTGAATATTAACCATCTAACATATCCATTGTGCACTGCGGTGGCTTCAGAATGGCCTAATCTACTACGCTTTAATGCTAACTACTTACGTTACCGTGGCTAACTTAAATCTCTGAAGAGCAAGCAATCCAACTTCAGGATAAACTTTCAATTCTCAAGACTTATACTGATTGTTTGTCAAATAACCATTCATAACCATTATCTAGACATTAGATAATCTTAAAATATTGAAATATAAAAAGACAAGATTGAATAAAGAATAGATATTTTTATTACTGTAAATCTGTTTCTTTGATTATTCCAGGTTGTTCATTGATTGTTAGCTTTATAAATATTTATATGAGTGTGAATATTGAGAGCTTCAAGTTAAATCTTTCTTAAACAATCTAATTGGTAAACAAGGCATCATCTAATTTTTGATTGCATAAAATGGATCAGAAGTTATCAACTTGATTTCCAGATATTTCATGGATTACATGGTATTTCGGTACAAATAAATAAATTAATATACGTGTATATTGATCAAAACAAAACATAACAATGTGTTGCTTAATTATTATAACTAAAAAAGTCTAATGTGAAACAATAAAAATCAATTTTAGCTCAAGAGATTTCTAGAGGAAAAGGTTGGAATGAATGGATTGAAATTAGTGTGAATTCAATTGTGATTTCAATGTTTAATTTTGATGATTTTTTGTTTTTGTAATTTTTCGTGTTTATTGTGAAAAAACTTGATTTGTGTAAGCTGATTTGAAAATCATTTCAGATTCTTAAATTATGGCTTTAGATTAACAGTTGAATGTGTCCTTGGTCGATACTGTGGTGTTGATCGATGATTACCATTATCAGTATTATCATTGATATAAGTATTGCTTGGATTGTAAGTAGTATTGCTATTATTACTGTTAGAAGACGTATTATCATTTGTTGATGATTTGGTTGTTGCATTGTCGGTATTATTTGCATTATAAATGGGTCCTAATTTGAAACATGTCTCTGATTTTGGTCTAGGTAAGGCTTTTTTAATGGTTAACATATTTTTCTCTGAATCAGAGTCTTCACTTAAACTTTGAGCAGACATGGTTGACATTGTAATTAATTCATTAACTGCCTTCAAATCAGTCTGCAAATCCTCCCTTTGACTAACTAGAGATGGATTTTTACCAATCTTGTTTAATCTTTCAGCAGCAATTGACTCCATGGTTCGTCTCATAACAGGATATTGATCAAGGACTGCATTGAAATGTTCAACAGATAATGAAAATAGATTGCAGTATGTTTCAGCTCGAACTGAAGCTGTCCTTCGGGCATTGGTTAACAAACATATTTCTAGAATGAGACAAAGAAGTAAAAATCAAAATGTAAGACAATTAGATGAAACAATAAAATATTATGGCCATAATGATGATACAGAAAAGGTTGGGAAAAAAAATCAAATTAAACATACCACCAAAATAGGAACCATCGGATAGACTTGTAGCAACTTCACCATTAAACATAACAATATCAACTATTCCCTCTTGGATGAAATACATTTTATTCCCAATAGTTCCTTCTTTAATAATTATATCTCCTGGTTGGAAGACTTCATATTTCAATTTAGTAACAACAGCATTCACAAAATCAATATCAGCTTTGGCAAAAAAGGGTACAGAAGCCACTAATGACCGGCAGTTATAATTAATTACATCCTAAATGAAGTAAACAGAAACAAAAATACAAAACAATAAATGAGCATTTATAGCTTTTGTAAGGGATCATCTTCAATGCAATTTGAAATACAACTTACCTCTCTGAGTTTCTCTGAAAGTTCATCTAGAATTGCATCTTCATCAAAAAATTTACCCTGATATCGGTGCTCAAAATAGTCACATATTCTGGCTCTAAGGTCACGAGGAAGCTTCCGATAGGCCATGTACTCTTCAACTTGTTTTAACTGTTAAATGAGAAACAAAAAGGTCAATTTATTTGCCATCAAACTAATCAAATTAACTTACCTTTTCTCGATATTGTCGCCTTGAAGAATCTAATGATTGTATTAAATTGGTGGTATGACCAAGGAAAAGAGCATAACAAGTAGCACCACTAATCATACTTAACAGGGTTAACCACATGTCGGTTAAACTTTGGGGTGGAAATCGTCCATAACCAATGCAAAGCATATGAGACATTGCTTTAAAAAGTGACCACGAATACTGTTCCATCCACCAAACATCCTGTTGAGAGGTTGGAATAAACGAAAAATCAAAATAAAAAACATAATTAATCAAAATACAAAATAAGTCAATAAAGACAAATAGACCAACAAAAAATAAACGTTACATCTACATGTGACAAATGCTATGGTAATGAGTCAGGCCTAGAAAGGGTGAAACATCTATAGAGAGTCATCTGGATTACATATTTGCAATTATTAATATCGCAACTATCGATAAATATATTTTCATGATTATCATTAATCAAACCTTTAAAATAACCTTTTCACTCATTTATTCATGATAACTGAATATTATTAACATTTGTTTTTCCTTTTATTCCTAAAGTAAAACCTTTGAAAAGCTTAACAATGAACCTACAGTTAGATTTATGCTCGTTAGGCTCAAGATTTCATTACAAATTACCAATTAATTTACTTGTTACAGCTATTTGATAAATTGTTTCAAATAATTTTAATGATAATTAGATGCAATTACCTTTAATTCATTAATAGCAACCCAAGAGTTTGAGGGGAATCCTTGCAGCATGGGCACGAGAAACTGAAGACAACCACTCCAATGTCCAATTAATAGCATCATACAAATTAGATTGAATATTTTCATAAAGACACTTGCCATATTCAGGAACTGTGGAACACAAAAGACAAAAATTATGAATCAACAATCAATTAATCGATGGACAATTGGGATTCAAATAAAAGTGTATTTAATGTTAAGTAAAAAAACAAAATTCAAGACAATCTAAGCTACTTTCATTGTGCCGTTTAACCTGGTTAACCGTCTAAATGTATTGCAATCTAATTGGCAAGCTTCATCAAAATTAAAATGTTTCAATTTTAAGAGTAATTTGAATTGATAACAAACCAGAATCATTTAATGTGCGTTTTTCATGAACATTTTTCAGTTACAACAGATTCTGTTTTGATCAAGCTTCTTTGGTTATTCATGATTGAACTGTGATCGTTTATTGGGTTCAAAATTAGGTTAAAAATGGGTTAAGATTGTGTTAAGATTAGGTTAAGGTGTTAATCATCAAGTGATATTCAATGCAATTCAAGATGCTGTGAACATAAGATGAGGGTTGATGGGAAGGATGATAAACAAAGGAAGAGTTAAATTATGATGATGATTTATGATCATCTATTGATGCTGATTCAATGTTAATGGTGCACCATTAAGATTAAGTTTTGATTTTGGATTCAAGCAAATAGTAGATGATATAAATATATAAATAAATATCAATCAAGAGTGTTTAAGAGTGAACCAAATGAATGCCAATGTGTATATATTAAGATGTAATGATAGCAACTACAATTAACAGTGTTTATTTAGACTTAGCTTTTTGTCAGGTTTACTCTTAAGCTTAGTCAAATATTAATAAATGCCTTTGAGTACTAAATGGTAAATAAAAAATAAATTATTTGGGTAATCAACAAGAATCAGGAATCAATAGGTAACATTATAATCAAGACGGTGAAAAGAGCAACATTGAAAGTTTCATTTGACAGTTTAAATCAAAAGGTTAACAAATAGTTGGTTTAATCAAAGGCTCATTGTGTTACCGTTTACCAGCAAAAAAACTGGTTAAGGAATGGATTGAGATTTGGGTGAAAATCTGGTTGACTGGCAACATTTTGATTTGGTAAATGTAACTTTCAAAGTTGAACTTTTTTGTAGGAAATTTCGTTCTGAACTTTCGTTTTTGTCTGATCAATCTGATTAATGGGTTAATGATGAGGGTGAGTACCTTGTGAATGTCGGAATCACCACAAAGGCGATTAATAAAAGCGAAGATACCACTGGTAACTCTCATTGAGGCCAAACTTTGCATCTGAGAAGAAAGATCAAACAGAGCATTTTGGTTTTATTTTTGAATAACGATAATGGCCAAATCAAATCCAGGGAAGAGAAAGAAGATGAAAATGAAAGTGAAGAAGAAGAAAAGAAAAGAGAAAATTCTGAGTTTCTTTTTTTTGTAAATGTGTTTGTAATATGTGTTTCCATTGCTGGTTTGAAGGGTTAAAGTTGAAAGTTGCGATTGTTTGGATTTTCCACTTTTGTTTTGTGGTCATTTGTAATGCGTATTGTTAAACCTTGTAAGCTAATACTGTCATTGATTTGATTTTACATTTGGCCTCATCTTTGCTTTTACTAATCACTAATTGTACGGTTTATTAACACTTAACTGATTGATCGTCAGTTATTTAAAATAATCAACATTTGAAAAATGGTTTCTTGTGACATTACATTAACAAATCCATGCAACATACAAAACAAGGCAACATTGAAAATGGTTAATTTAACTTAGGTTAAGTTAAATTGGTTGAAATTGATCATTCATCTGACTGAATACAATCAAAATGAATAATCAACAAAGTAAACGAGCGTGAAAGTGAAAAGGATTTGAAAATTTAACACAAAAGTTGATGATGTTGTAGGGTTGGGCAAGTCTTGCTTGTTTTTTTTTGTACAGTTTGGTGGAAACACAATTAACACGTTAATCAGAATTGACAAATACAATTAGCAAAAAAGGTCACACAATACGCATTGGACGGGAATTAAATTAAATAGTGTGGTTGGTGAGGGTGGAAGCATTGGATAAAAAGGATAAAACGAAAAACGTTAAGTCACAGTTAAGGATAAATGCTGATGGTTATAATGATTTTTCAGGTGAATTTCATGTTGATGATGATAAGAGAGTTGAGGATGATCAAGATAATGATAAATTGACAGGGAAAAGATGAAAATGTAACAAAATTTAAGGTGATAATTGGGTTGGTAATTGAGTAAGACTTAAAAAAATAGTCTGTGGGTAACACACAAACATATGATTGAAAACAGAGGTTAATCCTTGCCCAAACTAGGTTGCAATTTTAATTGTAAAGGCAGGTGAATTACAATAAAAGGTGCGGTTCAAGTTTAATCACAATTGATTAGTAAATGAAAGGAAAGACCAAATAAACGTTTAAATCACAATTAAAATAACAATCTAACCAAAAGTAAATAATGTTGAAGAGTACAAAAAGCTCTCCCTCTTTAGGAATCAAAATGAACTAATTTGAAAGCGCTTTTAATTGATATTGAAATATTGAAATGATAAAGAGACAAAATTAATGAATTAAATTGAAGACTTTACCTAATTGACATGAAATAATGAATAATGAAAGTCAATTAATCAGATTTGAAAATACAATCTGATGGGTTGCTGTGATAAGTAACCAGAAAAATGGTAAAAAATATGTTCATCAATGAAAACAGAGAAGCCAATTGTTTCTCATATTTTCATCTTGAATTTAATTAAAAAAAACACTTGCCTCTGAAGATAATTTATATTCTGATTTATTTGTTCTCTCAGCAATGAAAAGATTCATCCAGACTATCATGATTGAATTAGAGATAAAAATTGAGCTTTCAAAGAATAATGTTTCCCTGCTTTTGCAAGTAAAATGAAAAATGAACTTGAAACGTCTGATAGACTGGTTAAAGGTAAAAGTTGATGATGACAATGATGATGGTCATGATAATGGTTTATGATGACTGAATAATGGGTAATGATAAAACTTAATAGGCAAGTAAAATGTTGAAAGTGAAAACAGGAAACTATTCAATCAACATTTCATCTTGACAAAACAGTTGCTCTTGCCTTGCGGTCATTTTTGCCTGGTCAGACATTATTTAATTTTTGATAAAGGATAATCACCAAGAATTTATCAATCTATTATTGTTCAACAATTGATTGAAATCTGTGGTGATAATAAATTGTTAGCCCAAAAAAAGGAACCATCAATCGTTAGAAAAGTAAAGCAAGAAAAAGAAGATTAAATTTTCATTCCAACATTCATCATTAGATGTTGTATTTTTAGATTCAATTCTGGACAATTTTCCTGATCCATTCGATCATTGAAATAATCATTAAATTAGAATCAAATTCAAGCTGAAAATTAAAAAGCAAATCTTGATCAGGTTAATGAAGAGACTTGGAGTAAATAACTATCAATAGCAATTTGGTTAATCTGAGTGTAACAGTTTGCTTTATCAATCATCTTTCTTCCCCTTTATTCACTTGAGTTTTAATCAATGGAAAAGTGATTAATGTAAAAATGTAAATAATGTAAAGGTGTTAAAAGTGGGCCACTTAATGGTTAACATTTTGGGTTACAGTTTTGGGTTTGAAACCAGGAAAGGAAGAGTAAAATGTGCAATAGACATTCAACATTTAATGGTTAATTATCATTGTTACCTGTTCTTGCTTCAACATTAAACTGATAAAGAGCAAATGAAAAGACAAAATGACAACAATAACAACATTAACAACAACAACTAACCCAGTTAATCAGATTAAGGTGAAAACACCAGAAAAAAGGTGAAAGTTGATAACATTAAAAGGATTCGTGACAAAGATTTTTTTTCCTCATGTAAAAACAAAAGTACAAAAAAATCCAAGAATCAAGTAAATATTAAATGATTGAGCAAATGTAATTTGGTTCCTTTTGGGTTATCACAAGTTATCCTTCAAAAAATGATTTCACTTTTGTGAGATTAACCAGGTTATAAACAAAAAAACTGGTCATCATCATTATGATCATCATTAGTATGAAATTCAGGTAAAACTGGGCAAAATTAAATCAAAATGTAAGCCACAAAAGTGCAACCTAAAACTAAACAAAATGTAACCCAAAAATAGAAATAAAAAATTGGTAAAACTGGTTAAATCAAATTCTGCGGTTTTCTGGTTTTAATTGATAATATTTTTTGGGTTTTAGGTTTGTTTTGTGTTTAATGTTACCAGAAACAAGTGATAACAACAATGGAAAATATGATTTATGTGATTGAACACTTTTTTTTAAATCACCTGAAAGAAACATCAAGATACCATTTTGTTTGCTCAAATCGATATATAAATTATCTTTTGCCTTTTTTCCTTCGGAATTCATTCTGATTATTATTACATTTGCTTTTATTGAAGTAAAAGGTTGATGATAATAAAAATGTTTGAAATGAAACAGGAGATGAACATGAAAAAAAGGAGAGCAAATTCATGTTATTCTGGTTCAATTTTCATCTTTACTCCCAGTTTATATTCATCATATTTTGTCTTGTTTTCCTTCCCTTTTCTTACCCTGTTATCATTAAGATTTATCAGTTCATATTGACACTGTCTCTCGATTTATTATTATCATTATTATTGGCTAAATGAAAAGATATTCATCCGAATAACGTTGGAAAATCCTTTCTTTGCGATTCCTTCTTTTGCCACTTGAAAAATAGTAAAAAACATATTTTTGGTTCTGGTTTAGTTTTTCAGAGACATTGAAGAAACTGATGTGAAAAAAGAATCACAGGAAATGAGATTCTTGAATAACACAATAACTTTACACCCAAAATGGCCATAAGTGTCTATTTCAATCATTTGTGCTTTCAAACATTTAAAAATATCCACTTTACGCTCAAACCTGTCAACCTTCAGATTTCACAGACTCTGGTAACATCGGATTATTTTGTATTATAAATTGGGAAAACAATCATAATAGTGATTTCGGTTGATTTCATCTTAAATACACTTATCAGCTTAATCCATTATTTGACTATTCAAAGGCCAGTGTCATCGAGCTATTTCGAGACAAGATTGCTATTAAACTGGGAATTTGATAGCTGATTTGGTTCTAAACATTTCTCCGACTTTCAATTAGCATTTCAATTTGATATTAATTGAAAGTCGTTTTTTGAAATATTTTTTCATTTTAAAATATTATTCTTTTAATGACAGTCTATTGATTGTTGAATTTTGTAATCAACTGATATCTTTTGCTTTCTATTGGAACTGTGTTTTCCTTTCCTTCATGATTGATGAATTAAGGCTTTACGAATCGTCAAGGGATGTTTTTTTCTGATGATAATATTTAGTATCATTTCATGTTATTGTGAGTGTCTGTGTGTGTGTTGCCAATTCCTAGATTGATAAACCATTGACCAGAAAAATGTTTACGTTTAAAGTGGATGGATAAAGATGATGCCAAGTGATTATGATCTTGTTGATAATGATAATAATAATGATGATGATGAGTATCATGATAAAAATGGATCGATCATTGTCACCATTTAAGTCACTTTTCACTTATTGTTGACATTAAGTCCCAATGGTTAAATCATAATGATAACTAATCAATTGTACACTGTAAATATGAAAAATGTAACGTCCAAGTAGAAGGTAGGAAAAGTCAAACAAATGATTAGCTAGAGCAACAACTGAAAACAGTTAAGGTAAAGAAGAATCCAGAATCATAATCCAACTCAAAAAATAAGAAAATTAAACATAATTTCAAGCTAAAATAAACTCAAATAATAACCATTTCAGTGACAACAAAACTATTGATATCTTGTTATTGGAATGAGCGAAATCACCTTTTCTTTTAGATCTGGCAGTAACTCATCAGAGAACTTTGAATTCAACTCTGTATTAGAATCAAATCAATAACTATTAATAAATACTGATTCAAAGGTTTCTACTAAAAAGACGCATTTAACACATTTATAAGCAAATTTACAAATATTGAAATAAAAGGGCAAAAACGGGTAAAACTTTATTTCCTTCAATTTAGACTCTGTTGGTTTGGAGGGACGTAAAAAATGAGTCCTTTTGTGTGATTATAAAGTTTCTTTAATCGTTAGTTTTTGAGAAAATCGAAGTCAAAGTTGAAACTTCGATCGCTTTTTATACAATAACGGAAGCAGGTTTTTTCATGAAACTCATTTTTCTGCTTTAACTTTTGATGCTAAACCAGAAAATGTATTTGTTTTGAGAAATAAAACTTTTCTTTTTCTTTAGATACG